TTATCTCCAATTAACCACTAGAACACCAGAAGTGGAGCTATAGCTTAAAGTAATAGTTGGCTAGCCTTGAACAAAAAAGCTCAAGGACTGTGACCAGGCCCTGAGTTCAAGCCCCAGAACCAACGAAAAGAAAAGAAAAAAAGGGACATGAGCAACAGCAACCTAGAGAATGGTTGGATTGTTTAGCCCTGGAGGAAGATCTGTTTATTTTCACATCCCCTCCAGAGGTGAGTGGGGTGGCCTGGGGACCTTTTAGCCCAGAGGGCCCTGGTGCCAGCTGCCTCCCGCTCTGTTTACTGTTCTGGGAGGTGGCCAGGCCATAAAAGTGTGTGCAGCCTTCTGCCTTCGCCCTTTGCTCCTAGGGCCCATGATCACAATGCAGGAGGTCCATCCGGCCCCGGCACATCCGGCCCTGGCACAACAGGCAGGGCTTTGTGAGTAGCAGAGGATCCCCAAGGCATGGGAACCCCTGAGGTGGTACCAGAATAGAGGATGAGGATTCCACAAGCAGGGGGAGAGGTCCTGGTGGAAGGATAGCGGGCCATCCTGAGATTTGAACTCAGGACCTACTTCAAGGTTGCTATCCTTGAGTGACGCTCCAGCCCCTTTGGCTTTATTTTTCAGATAGGATTTCATGCTTTTTTTTTCTTGGCCTAAGCAAACTTCAAACTATGATATGCTGTATCTCTGCTTCCCAAGTAGCTGGGATTATTTTTAATCTTTATAAACATTTGCTGTGTGACCTTGGGAGTAACTATTTTCTCTCTGGGCCTCCTTTTCCAGTTGTACACAATGAGATCTTCCAACAAAGAAATGGCTCTGGTCACCTAGGTTTGGGAAATGCTTTGGTTGTTGTAGTGGGACATTAATACATCCAAGACTGTGAGCCTCACCGCAATAAAACTCTTGAATTTTCTTCAATCCATTATTCCCAATGCTTCCTACCCAGAGGCCCTCTCATCTCCCTCTTTCCCAGAAACCATGGCAGTCCATTGCAATCTGAAGTGCTAGAATGCCAGGCAGCTGTGAGAATGTCCCTGCCCCTCAGTAGGGCAGCAGGCTTTGTGGTCAGATGGGTTGTATTCCAACATGGCTGCCTCCAACCTGAGAGACTTCCATCTTCTTTACATGCTCGGTCTCTCAGTTGCCTGTTTGTCAAAAAGAAATAACAGGTCCTAAGATGGTGTGTAGTTTGGACCTGACACACAATAGTTGCTGGTGTGTTAAGAATCTGCTCACGGGGCTGTTGCATTCTAGTGTGCAATGCTGGCACGTCTGCCAATGCCCTGTGCTGGGACAGATGGAGTCTGTGGACAGCTAAGGCAAGAGGCCAGTGGCCAGGCCTGGCAGGCCATAGGGTTGTAGTACTGGTCCATAGAGGAGGATGAGATGTTGGCTGGGCTCACCAGCAGGTTAGCAGTCACTTGCCAATTGGTCTTTGAGCTCCTTTAAGAAGCAAACACATCTAATTCACTGTGTGTGTGAGAGAGAGTGTGTGCATGCACACACCTGTGTGCCAGTCCTAGGGTTTGAATTTATGGTACTGTCCTTGAGCATTTCTGCTCAAGACTAGTGCTCTACCTCCTGAGTCAAGGCTCCACTTCCAGCTTAAAAATTTTAAATTGTAAAGGCAATGTACAGAGGGGTTGCAGTTACATAAGTCAGGGAAGGAGTACATTTCTTTTTGGACAATGTCTCCTCTTCCTTTGCTTTCTCCCAGTTTTCTCCTCCCATCCTCACCCACAAGTTGTGTAGTTTATTTTCAACATGATGTCCAGTGAGAACCACTGCTGCATTTGTTCACCCTTTGTCTTGCCATTTCTGCACAGTTTGTTGTTGTTGTTGTTGCTGCTGCTGTTTAATTGGAGATCAGCATCTCATGGACTTTCCTGCCCAGGCTGGCTTCAAACCATGATCCACAGATCTCAGCCTGGCTTACTCAGTATACTTCCAAGAAGAGCCATGGGCTGCACTGTGCCCAGTGAGTTTCCTGTCACTCACAGAGTTCTACCAGAGATGGAGGTAAGCATGGCCATGGCTCCATTGCACCACCTCCACCTCAGGTCCACCAGACTGCAGCCGCCATGGGGCCAGGAGGCATCCTGTCCGAGGGCAATGCTGCTTTGCCTAGGTGAACTGTCCGTTACCTACTCCCTCTGCCAGGCAACAGGCCATGTACTGGTGCTGCAAATGAGCCAGAAATAAACCTTGCCTGGCTTGCTCCTCTAAGGTCCACAGCCTGGTGGTGGCCTCTTGCCAGTCAGAGTCATGTCCATCAATACTATGTGTTATGGACAATTTCTGGGAGCCTGTAGGACCCACCCCCAACAGAGAACTCTAGTCTTGTGGAGGAGTCAATCTGTCACTGATTGGCGAAAGACCAGTATGGGCTGAGGAGAACAAGACTCAACTGAGTTTTAGAGAGGGCTTCTGGGTTCAGAGGGCTGAGCACTCTGGGAGAGGAGGTCCTCAGCAGTAGAGGGTGTGTATGTGTATGCATTCATACATGCAGGCGTATGCATCTATGTATATGCATGTCTGCCTGTGTGTGTAACAGGTTGTGGTGGCAGGAGTCTCTGGATCCTAGCCTAACCCTGGGTAGATGAGCTGCAGAGAGTGAAGAGGGTGAAGAGGGACAGCCAGTCTAGCCCTGCCCAGGGCAGTGTTGTGGGGCGATCCCAGCTCGCTAGGCCAGGGGCTGCTCAGAAACGATGTTCTCTGCACCACAACAGATGGACTAGCAGTCTGCAACCTCGTTTTTTCACAGTCACCACTCCTGGTGTAACAAAACACATGCTCCACAGTGATAGAATCTGAACGTTTAAGCAAATTAAAACATGTTTATTTATATTCCTTTAAAAATATCTCCCTATATAATAAAAGGAAGTACATTTTCATCTCACACTTTTCTTAAATCAGTACACATCTTCATTTCACTTCTGCCTTGATGTGAGACCAGAAGAAATACTGAGAGGAGGAAGGAAGAGAGAGCAGAGGGGAGGATGGGAGAAACAGAAACAGGGTATTTGCTATGTGGATTCCTAAATTGTTATTGTGCCCAAACCCCTGGAATTCAGGGGAGGGACTAGCCCATCGTGTTTGGTCATTCCACTCCTCTCACTTATCTGGTCACAAAAGTGGGGCTTCAAAGAGTAGGGTGATGGATGTACACAACACCCTCTAAGGCCAGGTGCTGGTGGCTCTTTTTTTGGTGTAATCCTAGATACTTGGGAAGCTGAGATCTGAGGATCACAGTTCTAAGCTCGACCAAGTAGAAAGTCCAAAAAGATTCTTTTTTGGGGGGAGGGGGTCTGGTCGTGGGGCCTGAAGTCTGGGCTTGGGTGCTGTCCCTCAGCTCTTCAGCTCAAGGCTAGCGCTCTACCACTTGAGCCACAGTGCCACTTCGGCTTTTTTCTTTTTGCTTATGTGGTGCTGAGGAATCAAACCCAGGGCCTCAGGCATGCAAGGCAAGTGCTCTACCACTGAGCCACCTTCCCA